CGCATGTGGAATATTACTTTTGTCTATCTCTCTCTTTCACCGTCAAGAGAATCATCGAGAGATGTACGAGCGTGATACGTCATTGACCTCGAAAGTCCTCCGTAAAATCGATGAGGAGATACCCTTTAAACCGGTGGCGGACGAATCCCTCGTTCAAACGGTTCGTTCTTTCGAGTAACTGCGACGCATTAAGAAATTGCAGATTTGCATCGAAGATCTTTATAAATATATCGTTCATTCATGATTTCATAATGGTTTCTTTTAACGGTCTTGCTTCGACACTGCGGATGCTCTATTCTGATGTATAAATAACGTATTGATCTTTTTGCCGATTCTAAATTTGCAATTGTTGATATGCAAAGATTTTAATTGTTGATTTAATATAACAATTGTATAAATCATTTTATTTTTTATCTTATTTCTGTTTCTATATTCTATTTCTATAAGCGTCATGCGCTTAAATCTTTTCAATTATAAAATCCAAACATTGTACCAAACGAACCACGTATAAGATTTTTACATTTGCCTTACTTTTGATCTGAACTTTTGATCTGAATAAAAATAAGTACATGTTCTCTTATACTTATACTTCTCTTATACTGTTGGATATCTCTCTCATATCAACAAAAAACGACTTTTCTACAATTGCATTCTTTTTGCTAAATAAATCAGTTTGAAAGAACTGACAATTTTCGCTTTCAAAGATTTCAATCTCAATCGACTCAAATTCATCTATTGTTCCCTGGATCTATTATTTCCTTGTCTGGTTGTCACGAAGGGAGACAGATGTCCATTGTTATATGTTAATTAGTCCCGAGCATTCTCAGAAAGCTAGATTCCAATTGCAGCTAGATTGATCGCAACATCTAAAAATACCAGTCTCACAGCATGTTCCGACTTACAAACGCATCAAAATGAAATCGCATCTCACCTGCTTCCAGGCAGCGGCAACTACTCGATCATTTGCGGTTGAAGGCTTTGACGCAACAATGATCCACAAAGCCACACTTTTAATTAAATCAGTTTATAAAAGAAGATATTCAATTTATATCGATTTCTTCAGTGTGGAGAAAAGGAACGAATTGGAAGGAACGATTTGATAGACGACAATGTATTGTGTTATTAGCCTTGCGTTTGCTCATAAATTTCTGTCTGTGAAAAACATAATTTATCATGTTAACGACAAATAATGACGAATAACTATTACATAGATAGAATTGGAGAGAGTTTGCATGATAACAGTTTTTACAATTATTATTATTACCATCTTATTAAAATTTTCTTAAATGATCGAGCCACACGCGAGGATCGGAACAAAAAGCTTCTTATATTTACCTTTCAACACTTTCGATCACGTTCCATTGTCTTTACTTGCAGCGTCATCATTAACGTCATTCATGCAGTGAATTTAACGTACCGGAGTGGAATTATGGAAGCTTATGACGTGAAGTATCTCGTACGTCGATTACCGTTGAGTCAAGTCATCTGAAAACGCTCCTCATTTCCAAGAAACTCGCGGTTTGGATCCTGTCAATCCGACAAACAGGTTGGCATTTTCTTTACATTATACATTGTAATATATCATTCGCTAATTGACGCTTTTTTCGATTCGCTCGATAATTTTACCGGACGATCGAAGCATGACTGATGAAATCGTGTGTGAATTGAAATCACACTGAAATTACCGCAACAACTAAAGTTTAAACAATTTTATAAGATAGTATGTACATATTTAAGATCAAACATGAAATAAATAAATTACAGGTGTTATCGGACATCGTCTGTTTTAACGGAAATCAAATTGGTAAGTCAGACACTCTTCTATCTATCAGCAGACATTAATAGATTTTAGACACGTGATTTTAGACACGATATGAAAGAAAACTACGAATGTGCAAAATTTAATTTACAATCGCATTATATATTTAATTGAAAAAGATTAAACGTTTTCGATCCTTGAATCGGAATGCCTTAGCACATATATTTCTGTCATATGAAAAACCGATTTTAAATTTGTCGAGGATACAATTCGAGCGAAGATTAAACAGCTTTCGTATCCCCCCCCCCCCCCCGTCCGAATAATTTAATAAACTAAATTTTGCGTTTATTTCGCGCAAGCAAACGCTGCATCCGCAGTCCGCGGAAAAAACGCGACATTTCGACATAATGAACAACGTTCACGAAATATGGACATTCACGAGATACAGATCCAATAAAGCGAAAATTTCGATCGTTTCCCTCGCACGAAGTCTTCGCGAATCACGTGTTTTTCCTGGGGTGCAAGTTGAATGCGACATCGCGTGCAGCGATCGCTCGAGATTGGGAAACACGCTACAACGGAGATTAAACCTAAATGTAGAGAGTTTCGCTAAGAATATCGTAACCGATAATTTTTCATCAGGCTACAATGGTTTCGATCTTCGAGTTAAAGGTCTGCGAAGCTTTCGCGTGCTCCAGTTTCCAATTTTGCATACGCATTCGACGAATGCGGGTCGGGACATCGATCGACATTTTTCGGGCGGATACATCCTGTCGCGAGACAGGACGACAAAACGACAACACATGAGATGAAAATCGAGTCGCGGCGCGTCACAAACTCGCAATTCAGATCCGCGCGATTGTCTCGCTCGCGTGAAGCCGAGCCCTCGGAATTGCAGGATCCTTCTCTCTGCATCTCGGCTCTCCCTCTCTCTCTCTCTCTCGCTCGCTCGCTTCGCTCGTGCCCTGTATATACGAGAGGCGGTGCGAGCACTTATTAATAGAGATTAGAGTCCGGCGTCGTGTGGTGCCGTGTGCAAACGCCCTCCCGCGAGATGCGGGACGCGCCAGAGAGCAGTCTGACTCAGGGCCCATTGCGGAAAAATATAATCTCGACCGATCGCGCGGCGGATTCTCGGTAGTGTGAAAAAGTGATCGATCGCTCGGCGAGAAATTGCCGGACGGACGTTGATCGCGCGATTTGACCGGCGAGAAGAACCGCCGGTTTGATCGTGCTCTCGATTAAATCGCGATTAAATCGTCGCGTGTCGCGAATCGAGATTCCTCCGAGTTACGCCGGATAAGTGTCTCCGAAAATAGGATATTTCGTGCAGATTCTTTGTGCACGCGCGAATGACGGGCGGGTATGTTATTTAGTGTATGGCAATTTACGTGGCAATCTCGTCTCTTATTTGATACGACTACTCGATCTTGGCTTCGTGCAACAATGCGCACAAAATAATCCTAAAGGAGCGCCTAAGCGCACCGTATTGTTTGGATCAACGCGTCTAATACGCGTCAGGAATTGCTAATTACCGAAGCGAATACGATCGAATGCGCGAAAACCCATCGCGATGTCATTTTCTACCACTGATCGATTAGTATAACTGGAACTTCCCGTTTAAAGCAGAGTTCTCTTCTGCGTAATATCTCGCTCAATCTCGCTAAAAATTAGATTTTTAACTGCCAATCTACCAAGAATTTATACAGGATGTTCCATAGAATTATCATTTACACATATTTCTTTTAAAAATAAAGCTGCCTAAAAGTTATTTATTCTCTAATTATGAATTTTAATAATAATCATTTGGTTAAAAATGAACATATCCAACATTTCGATTGAAATCATCAAATTTCTCTTTAAATCAATCAGAAGTTTGTTTAATTAACGAGAATTATTTTACAATTAGCTTAAGCTAAATTTTAATAATTTCAATTGGAATTTCTAATTTGTGCTAATCTTAAAACAGAATTTTGGTACAGTAAATTACTTTTTCCATATGAATATTCGAACATTAAATTTTTATCGCATTAGCGCTTTATAATTATTTTTAAATTTTTTAATTAGCGTGTCGCATTATAATATCATATGATTATACGTTTCTTCAATCTTATGCTTAAGTCATCGTTTCTTACTCTGCCCGTGATATTTGGAGGCACGGAAGCGGACGGAAATTTTCAAAGTTACGCCAACTCCAACTACCCATAACTATAGTTAATGATCTTAAATAGTTGAACAGTATCTCGCTAGGGATTGATTGATTCCAGACAAATTACTCCGATACGCGCGTCTCGCGAGATGTGACTCATTCCCTTGGATCACGCGATCCATATTCGAATTTGACGGAGAAAGACGTACTTTTGTATGTCGAGCGTCGCCGTCGCTGTCACGACGCGCTAAAAACAATTGTGTAAAGGTTCGCCGTCGCGCGCTTTGACATTACGATAGCGAACAATTATCTCGTCTTATCGCAATATCGTGGACTTTATCGCAATATCGCTGTATTCGGGCGATCGGTGATTCAATCGTATCGCGCGCGCGCGCGCGTGACCTGGACGGAAATGCTATTATGGTATAGCGGACGACTGGGAGCGCGAATCTGACGTACCCGCCGACAAATGATGTTAGTGTTGCTGTTGTGCATCGTCATGAAGATAGCAGAGATCTCCGTGGGCCGGACGAGTCCCACGGCGCGGCCGCTGACACCGCCGTCGCCGCCGCCGCCGCCGTCGCCGTCGCCGTCGCCGTCGCCATCACCACCACCACCACCCACTTGCAACAGGCGGTGTAGGCGGTGCAGGCGGTACAGAACCCGTCGCCAATCCTACGGCGACAGATGTATCTCACGAAAATGTAAGAATTTCGCGTGGTTGTCTCGTAAAACAAGACTGGATTTACGTTCGACGGAATTAAATGCGAGAGATATGACGAGAGCAAGCGGATCTACTCCCTCGCCCGTTTTACTTTACATGTTTCGTACTTGTAATGAAATAGATATATTTCAACTTGAAGGGAAAAAGAGCGAGTTGTGTAGCAAGCACGAATAAAAAGAACCGATCGAATTCTTCTCGATCGCGTATGGCGAACTCATTGGCTTCTCGCAAAAGTCAGGATGGAGGGATAAGGACGTCGACGAGTGTGACTGACAGTTATAAACTTCGTGTCTCTCGTTTTCTCCCTGTTTCGTATAAATTTAGAATTTTTGTTTACGCTAGAATCTAGAGGTCGTAAAGATGAGCCGGATAATTAACGTTTCGTTATCTCGCGCGTCAAGTGCAGAAAAATGTGCAAGAAAGGTGCAACGTGCAGCTAGAACTTGGAACGCGAACGAACGGCAGATGCTGTCGTGTCAATCGATGTCAGATTAGTCAGATCAGTCAGATGCGACTGGAGACGCGACGGCGAGACGGGTGGCCTGGTGTGACCGTGATGATCGTAATCGTAAAGGCGGCGTGATACCCTCTTGACGGGGGATTATGTGCGCCGCGGATGGCGGATGCGCGGATTGCTCGCTTCAAGTTGACGGGGAGGAGAAGGAGAGAGAGAGAGAGAGGAGATAGATGCCGTGGTGCGCTTTGCGGGATTAGGGTTACGAAATCGCGCGAGTCGTATTTTTCCGCGACTTTTATGACGCGAGCTGACGAATCGTCCAGTCCTACTACGAACGCAAACGCCTCGGCGAGCTTACGTCGCGTTGCCAATGCCGAAAGCTGCGACGCAAGCTACCTTCGTAAGTCCGTAAGTCGTTCGCAAACGTGCCCCCTCCCCGCCCCCTTCCTCCCCTCCTCTCCCGCCTTCTCTCTCGAATTCTTCGCGCTCTCATTGATATTTGTCGAATACTTTGGTCACACGTCTTCGATCGTGTGCGGTGATTGCTAATTCAAGCGTGGGAAGAGAAATTGCGTTATGCGCTTTTACTCGAAGTAAATCATAATCTTTCGTTGCGACACTCGCCTGTATGTCTCTCTGCGATTATGTAAATGCATATTTTTCTTCTGTATGGATGACCCAGTTACCTCTTCAGTCGCAGGAGAAGACGCACCAGTAATGGAAGAGCCAGAAACTCCAGGATCCGATTGCAATTCTAATCCAGCGACAGATTCCATCCAGCAAGATCTGGTTGGTTCCGAGTTCGTTCAAGACAACGTTGAATATCAATGGTTTATCGATTATGGGTAGGTAGTTTAGCATTTATGTCTATCTTAGTGATATTATATCTTGACATATATTGTACCTAACTTGTAGATATAGAGATGGAGGAGGTTTACATATCCATCCCAGTGTTCTTTCGTCGCTTTCCGCGTCCTACTCTCCCAAGGATCTGGGTTATTATGACGATCTTGCACGTAATTTGGATGCTAATCTGGCGGAAATTGACATGGAGAGCTTTCGTACGGCGGACATTCATACCCTCCTTACAGCTCTACCTGTCATGTGCACAGAACCAGTTCAACATTCCGAAGTAATGACTCGATACGAGATATAAATTAAACTAATGTTTACTATCGTAAATTTATCATTTAAGCTCAGCGTAAATGCAGACAGACACTGGATGTGAAGATGCAATCGTGAAATTTGCAAGACAGTTTCACATTTATATCATCACGAATCTGCGGCGATTTACGCGAAGCTTTGTATTAAAATGAGAATCCAATTTTATACACTTTTGTGTGTTGTATTTTATTTTTAAATTTTTTATACAACATTCTAAGTCTGGTATATGTTCCTTTATCGCCACAGTTTAACTATCAAAGGGAACAGTATGCCAGTATATCTGGATCTGTTATGGAAAAGCTTGACATCGGTTCTTCCATCAGCCCTCATACCAGTAGCCAGGTATGACAATGGCTGACGAAAGTAAAAGTCCATGTGCTATAAACAGTGTTCCCCTCGTACATTTCATATTCAATCGATCAATACTAACAATCTTATATCCAGCTTGTATAGCTTTTTGCATGCATACAAATATATAATATTACGTATAATTAGTGAAATGAATCAAATGAAATTTTAATAATTCTTAATAACAAGATTTTCAAGTTGACATCTCCAACATGTGTAACCCTACTTTAATGCTAATTGAAATTTTGATTAGACTACTCGGACAACTATGTATCACAAAAGTAAATTATATAATTTTATAGTTTATTATTTATTTATCAATTGTATCTTATTATTCAAAGGGAGAAGATTCCGCATGTTCCACTGCTGATACGATATCCATATGCAAGTCGTCATTGCTATTTTCTCCAGTAAAAGAAACGCCAATGTTACCACCGGGTGGTAGTTATAGTGTAGATTCGTTGGACTGCGAAGATATGTTACTCACCTGTCAAACAAATAATAAAAACAATTATACCATCGCTTTTGAGGGTAGCATGACCATGTATTCGGATGGCTCTCAAGATTTTGAAAATCATGGTAATTTATATGATTATATTACATAATAGACGCAATACAAATCGTTAGTTCAAACACTCACCGATTGAAAATAAGTTGTCCTTTAAAAGTTTTCTTTTTTTTTTTTGCTTTTTCATAATTGTGCAGTATTATTTGCAGATAAACATAAAACATATGAACCATCAGACATATTCTATGATAAACAAAAAGATATGAAGACTATGCTGGACTTATCAATGGCATGTTCCGATTCAAAGATATATACAACGTGGAGTAATCTGAAACATTCCTCCATGAACAAAGTAATAACTCGTCATCCTTCCGGTAACAATAACACGTTACCAGATATCTCACAAAATGCCGCTAATCTGACGCTTGGTGAGATGAATAAACGGAGCCAAAGCTTACCGGATCTGTCTCGCGTTCGTGAATTTCAACATACTAATATACCTCTTAATTTTAGTGTAAGTGTAGAGACATGTGTAGGGACAAATTTTTATGCAATTTATAATATTTATAATTTATAATAATTATATTTTGCATGATTTTGTAATATAAATTTTGCTTCGTGGCACATAGATTGATTCGGCCGAATCAAGCAATCATATGCAGCGATTACACAGTTCTGGATCTGCGATGAGTCGTTCGATAAACGCCGAAAGCTCGGACAATGGGGAAAGCGCTGGTACAAAGAAACTACAAAATTTAAGTCTCGTCAGATTATTCATGAAGCAAAAGAGTATGAGCGTAGAGGGGATGAGTCTTACTTTGGATCAGTCGGATTCTATTAGTGACAACAGTGGTTGGCCCACTAGCAATAGCGGCAGTGATAGCGCAACCAACACGAATACTCAGATACAACGTCAATCTGGTCAAGATAATGTCTGCCGTGTGTCCGAAAATGATTTCTCTATTAATTGGATTAGGCGTGATACTATCAACAATCACGACATGGAAAATCAGAGAGAAAACTTGAACGTTCTAAAGTGCGCGACACGAAATAATAAAGACGATAAAATTGAAATGGCATCATCCGCATCAGTAGAAGAACTTTCGGAAAGTGTATCCAAATCGGATTGCATGAGCGATCAACGAAGCTTCGATAACAATGTTCTCTTTGAACATCAGCAGAGGAACGGCTGGATTGGCTTAATGGAAAAGAAACACCCAATCTGTCGAACCACGGGAATACAAGCGAATGCGGAAATGGAAGACAACGCAGTTCAAACTTCTTTAATTTTTACCGCGATGAAAGAAAAATACAGTCCCCTTTTGCAAGAAATGACAGTTAATAAAAAACCTGTATACGTTGTATATCCTAATTACACATTGCCTGATTTATCGTTTCTCAAAAAAGATACCAAAATTGATAACATCGCGTTGAAGCCGCACACGTTCGATAAAAACAAGATGGAATGGAAACGTACTCTTCGTTCGGGTAGACCATTTTCGTGTAACGATATCGATGCTCTACGGCAACGCGGGTTCGCGCACGTAAAGGATTGGGAATCGCTTACGTTCCTCTTGCCGTATGAATATAAAAAGATTTTGCACGATGTACCAGAAGTATCGAGATATATTAATATCAATGAGGAAGTTAAACGACCTCTGTTTTGTTTGTCTCCACCAATGCGTCATAAGACACGACCCATCAGTGAGATTATACCGAATAACACTTCTTCAACGAGCAGCACCGCGACACAACCATCTTCCGGATATAGAGGCTCGTCAACGATTTTAACCGATTCCTCGACGAATCAACAACCATTGACAAATAATGCAATTAATCCATTGTATTTATATCGTTATGACAGTATTAGTTCGGAGGCTAGTTTAGTAAATAACGACAGGAAAATGCATAGGTTTAATCAAACGAGACAAGCCTGCCCGTCTCTTTCGAAGCGATCCGTATCATTACCGCAGGGTGAGGGAGAACCTGAGTTTAATAATGGCAGAGTACCACCACGGCCGCCTTTGCCGAGGAGTATTTTACGAAAGAACAAAGTTCTCGCAAGTAAACGATACAGTATGTTTGAGATGGGAGATGTGGGTGAACAATCAGAAGAATCACAATCTGTGGAAATAAACAAGAGAATGTCTTTGCAAGAGCCGTATTATATGAATAATGATCTGCAGTTGTTATGTCGCGAAAGAACGATCGATTCGGAGAAGGATGTCGATGAAACAGAAGCAGAGAGATATCTTAGAGGTAGGAATGAATTCAGTATATATATATATATATATTATTTTTTTTTCTTTGTATTTTTCTATGATGGATTCATATCTTTGACCGATACGCCTTGTTTAACACTAAACAATGATTATCGTAGAAAAATTGAATGACATTATGAATAACGCAAACGCGGAGTCGGAAACTTCTCAGCAGAGCGACGATGATATTAAGCAACTAGAGGAATATTTGAAACGCAGTGCAATCTCGTCGCAAAGCAGCGATGGGGATATCGACAATGCCGAAGTTAAAGTGAGATCGTACGTGAGAAAATTTTTAGCTTTGAAAATGAACAAGGATCCACTTATTAGGAATATCGATATGGGAGAATCACAAAGAAAAACCGTCAGTTTCGCCGTACACCAAAGAAAAAAACATCTGGACTCCAAGGTAAACGACTAAATTAATTGTAGTCTAAAAGATTTCTAGTTCTTTCATTGCGTACTAATGTGCGCGTCTACACATATACACATACATAAACGTACATCTGAAACTATTTTATTTATTTATTCAGCTAAATAATCTGAATGTCGTTGTAAATGAACAAAGTCAAGATCAAGCAGATGAAGATAAATTAATGGAGCTAGAAGAAAAGAAGAGTATGTATATTTTATTCATTATCTGATTATTAAATGAAAGTGTAGCGAAATTCATAAATATGATACTTTTTCCAGAAATGGTATCATCTGTAAATAAAGCGGTGGATCTTTTATTAAAATATTGGAACGCTGATTCGAATCATAGTCGTCCCAATTATAACGAAAGAAACGAATGTGCGCAAATCTGCTTGAGTAATTTATGTCCGGCTTTATACGCTATTATGTCGGATGGCTTGAAACCCCATTTAAATTCCACTTTTGGACCAATTACCAATAGCGTTTGGCAGGTTGTCGAGGCCAGTTCTCAACAAGGGCCTCTTACGAAGACATTAAATGAATTGGTACAAAGGATTAATGGCGAAGATGTTATCACAGAAGGAATGTTAAAATTCCATGCATTCGTATTTGGTTTGTTAAAGTAAGTCAAAATTGCGATAATCCGATCTATTTATTACATACTATCAAATTACGGTACATCACATTTATACTTGCTGTACAATTTTCGATTTGCTCGATTAATAAATCTCGATTAATTAATATAATTAATTTATTTCATTTTTTCCAGTTTGAGAGCCCTAGACGCATGGTTTGCATACTTGTGTACACGTGAATCAATTCTACGGAAACATTACAATAACCATAGCTTATTCGTTGCGGCCTTGGCCAACGCCAATGTTCGAGAAATTGTAGATTCGTTATTATACATTTTGAATCCACTTGCATTCTGTCCATTCCATTTGGATCTTCTCTATCAATATCGTCAATTGCAAAATAGTTTTGGGAATATAAATGGTCATACTGTGAACGTAAGTTAATTATTGTGCTTGATTTCTTTTATATGTATATGCCATCGTATATATTTATTTAACGCATTTTTATAGGTCACGAGCTTTAGAAACGTCGATATGAAAGACCTTGAGACTGAGAAAACAGAATCTTGGGGAATAGCTCCCAGTCCGAAAAAGACACGACCAAGATCTTGTATCGCTTACAACATGGATGATAAATGCAATACTGTGTATAAAGGTGATCTCCAAAATGCAGCAAAGAAACGATTCAGTGCCATAAGCCCGAAGACATTTTACGCGTTAGACAAATTGACTTCCGAGGATTCCGAAGATTATACAGACAGTCTGGAACATTCCCCTCTAAATAGAAAAGCAAGCAAGCGATCGCAACAATCGAAACTTTTTAGTCCCGATACCACTAAACCGAATGACGATGATGGTTTTTCTGGCGAAACGAAATTTAAAAAGTTACAGGAAAAGTGGGAATTGATGATTGGTAAAGAAGGCAATAAAGCCCAACCCGCCGTAATGACTCCCTCTTCGCCGGTTCGAACGTTCGGAGTGTTGGGAAAATCAAAGATTCCTAGATTACTCACATCACCGGTGAAACAATCCAATGTCGCGGCGAATGCTGTTGGGAAATCATCAAAGTCCCCGGTATCGGCAATTTCTTCGCTAAAGAAACCCGCTAATCTTCCTACAACAAAACCAACACCAAAGAAGCCTATGGATGCAAAAATGAGAGATGTGACGCGTCGTACCAGTCGCGTCGATCAGGATACTTTAGGCGTGACGCGAACTCACACCGCACGCCCGAGTTCCTTACCCTATAAATCACACGGAGTAACGTCAAACGACAAGAATCTAATTTCACCTCACAGGCGGGCCGTTTCGACTTCTCTACCGCGACCAACTGCTACCGTATCGAGAACACCAGTTTCAAAACAATCACACAAGTGAGTATATCGATTTGCTTCGCAATGTATTAATTTTTAAAATTTATTATTTTTTTGCCTCCAATTTTATATTAGTTGCAAATATTTTTCATTTATACAAGTTGCATTACGAGCGAAATCATAATGTAAATATTATTTGTACATTTGTTTATCCTCTACGCTTTTTTAATCCTTGTTACTTGTTCTGCTTTGTACTTTAGCCATTTTCTTTCTTTCTCTTTTTCCTTAGAGCGGTACGATAACAGTTCGCGCGTCTCGATTGCAGAGAAGTTCGTACCCTCACTCACAGGATACCGTCGGATACCGGTCACCTTTCGTTCGCAGAGGGGGAGAAATTAAAAGTAATATTAGAAGTGGATAATAAGTGGTTACTGTGCGCGAAAGGTGATCGAAGAGGTCTGGTACCACGGGCATGTGTACACAGCATTCAAACTTAGCCCCTCATCTCGACGACCCTTCACGACCGCAAATACAACCGGGGTCCTACGTTACGTAACTGTAATCCTACCCTCGGAGACGAAGACGAGCGAATTGAGAGAGGACGAGCTGAAAAGTTCAAATTATCTAAATATCCCGGGACGACATAAGTGATGTACAGTGTATTAAAATTGTTTTTAAGTCGTACAATGTAATACGCATTATCACGCGCTTGTAAAGTTACTTTTAATCAAGAATACTTTGTTTTTATCGAAATGCGACAGTAGTATTATCGCTAGCGACATCATCGAGGACATAGAGATATCACCTAGTCATAGGCTCCTGGATGACATTATATTTATTTAGATTCATTTATTTTAGAACGATGTAAGAACGCGAGGATAACGACTCGAAATATCCTTAATGATTAAAAAAACCGAAAACAGTGTACTGATCTACACATGTTATGAATATATGTAACTGTGATCCTAGTAAATAGGCAATTAAGTTTATTAGTATGAACGCGCGATGTATATTTCGTTTTGATGTTTATATACTTTGTAATTTATTTATGTCTACACCTTTATGCACAATATCGCGCATCAACGATCCTTCATTCTGATTTTATTTAAGCCATTTACAGCATGCATTTTTGCGATGGCGGCGAATCACATTTTTTTACATGCTTCATGTATTTCCTGATACATACACACATACAAACACACTCACACATATACTATATATATACATAGATACATACATGTATTTCTTAATACATATATGTATATATACATATATATAAATATGTTAAGATATATGATATAATCAAATAAAGTCTGTTGTGAATTATATTTAGCAGTGTGTATAATCAATTACATTTAACGCGACCCAACATGGAACGTCTTTTTCACGATATAACGTAGAAACACATAGAAACTTACTTTTATAGTTTTATGAGTGAAAGTAATTGTACTAAAAGTGGAAAAAAATTATTTTTGAATAATTTACATAAAGTTGTTTGTCTAAACGAGAAATTATAGTATCGTGCGATTTGTTATAACGTAAGAAATTAATCTCGAATAATTTGTCAATTACAAATCTCATAGAATATTATGACCATGACAATAATATTATTATTCGTTTCTTCGACGAATTGTAATAAATTTTCGTTAACATAAAAACTTTTTCTTCTAAAAAACATTTCTTGACGTAACGATTTTAATGTTGTATAATAAATTTTCTGAGAAAAAAGAAATGTTTGTACATTTTGAAACACTTGTTCACACTTCTTGATATCTGTTTAGAATCCCGATGAGAGTTTTATCGTTGTTGTAACACCAAAAATAACTACTTCTTTAATCCGAAAAACATGAATCATCAGAATGGTTTATGAAATTCTTAGAATGAAAATGAAATTAGACAAACTATAAAGTAGTTTCTTTTTATATAAAATCACGGTAGAAGGATAAGATAATAGAGAATGGTATTGTTACGTAAATATTTAAGCTGATTCCATAATCGTCGTTATCTTTATGATCGTTATCAAAATAATCATTGGTATTTCATCAAGACGTACATATAAATTACGGCGCAATTAATTACTTGTCAGTTAGCCGATTTTTCGTGTGAATTCGAGCGATATCCAGCAATCATGAGGATCACCGTTGCATTGTCAATTTTGGCTGCACTTTGTACCGTAAGTTTTCTATTGAGAAAAATTTATAATGCAATTTTGATGATGCAATTTTTCTGGTTTTTATTCGTAGAATTTTAATTTTAACAAAACCTAAGACCAAGATTTAAAAAAGTTGATCATATATCTCATCGTTATTATCATATATTATATTAAATAAAATTTCATTTATTATTATTCTTCTGTACAATATCTTTATTGATTACTTCAAATGTTAATTAAATATTATATTATTTGGAATTGACAAAATTCCATGAATGTGTATTATCAAAATGTACTCGTACTTGTTGATTGTGATGTTTCGACTTTAGATCGAGGCCATTCCAATACGCGATTTAGAAATTTTGTGGATGCAAGTGAGAGAAAAAAAATGGCAGGTAGATACAGTTATACGTCAACTCGAGATACTCTATTCCGAGACCGTCGAGGATACTGTCGAAAAAATTTCGTCCCAAATCGATGAGGAACAAAGCAGTTGCATATCATATGAAAACTCATTAATTACTCGGATTCGCGTGAGTAATAATTTGAATTAATCGGATTTGATTTTTCATACACAATATACTGTAATATACTGATTTTTCCCCTATTTATAATAATAAGATAATTAATTATCTCACAATAAATTATCAAGTATCGATAATAAGTAATGAAGATTGTAATAGATACACGATCTCAACTCTTAATTTCAAATTACATCTTTTAACAATAATTCTAAAATTAGTTTATTGATGTATTAAATTAAAATAAAAATAATATTTATATAATAATTAGTAAATTTGAAATATAGCTCTGATTATAATTTTGTAATACTTATACATGAAAAGCATTAGTTAATTAAATCATATCGTCGTGACGGTATATTAAAATATTAAAAATAATATAAAAATACTAGGTATACATACTTTTTTAAAATCAGACTCAAATTCAAGTTTGTCATATCTATAAATAAGGATACTATCGAGAAATTATATAGATCAAAGATACTTCGTAAAATTCCATGCCTGATAAGTCTTTGATATTTGATAAAATATACAGATTCGTAATACGTTAATTTATTTTATTAATTTATATTTTTAGAAAGAAGTAAACGCAGTAGGCAATAATGCGAAGTCATGCCTTGATACTGCCCAGCGTCAAATCAGAACAAGTGCAAAAAACGCGTTCGCAGAATCTGAAATTTGCGAGAAGCAGGCTCGCAACTCTATCGAGAACAATCTCGGTTTTCTCGACATTCTCATCGCGGTGTGTTTTTATGATTTGACCATTACGTCGATAACGATCGATTTTTCGTTGAATTGATGTTAGCAAAATTCTAATCGTGTTAATTTCTCTTTACAGACTGGAAGGGAACTAATGTCAGAATTAGACGATATTCCCCTGAATTGTCACGACAGTAACATTGATATGAGGCGGTATTGCATCATTGCCGAATTGGCGAGAATAAGCGATGAAATAAGGAACTTGGAGAGAGATAGTATTTCCGCAGAGATGACCACCTTGCCCGTGTCCAAAAATGTCATTATGCGATATACCCAGTGCGTAAGAGATGCCTATTCTTCCGTATATACGATGGGACGTATGATTATATTAAGAGCCGAGAAATGTATCGCAAACGCGAATACGCCGACAACACCAAGTCCGACAACAACAAGTTCGACAACACCATGTTCGACAACGGCAAGTTCGACAACGGCAAGTTCGACAACGGCAAGTTCGACAACGGCAAGTTCGACAACGGCAAGTTCGACAATGGCAAGTTCGACAACATAAGAAGAGCCTCATCTCTAATCCCCGACGCCGTCACCCCTTAAATCCCAAGACCGTCACATGTCAATCATAACTGTTCATTAAAAATAACTCTCAAAAAGAATCAAGACATTTCTAAGATTGTCATTTTTTTGAAAAAGACATGGTCGCGATTACATAATATTCTTATATTGACTTTAAAGTTAGTATAGTTTGTAGTATGTGTTCCAACACATTGGAATTCTATGATATATTTTTCAAAAGTGTAATCCTGTATGTAATATGAGAGAAATAAAAATAATTTGCAAAACGATTATTTGTACTTTGATTTCTTACATACCTGCAAATCTTACATACCTGACTTTCATTTCACGTGTGATATTTCACGTAAGGTCGTGAAAATTAAATGCGATAAGCTGTATCTTATCTTAATACGAATGAATATTAATACGTGCTATCTCTCACGATCCGATTATTTAATCTTCGTTTACGTAGGGGTCAATAGGTGAGAGTAAATAGATGACCATACGCGCATTAGTCTGAAGACGTTACATATCCTCGGAATTAGAGAAGCAACATTTTGTGCTGAAATAAGTTCGACAATCAAACTTTTAAAGTTCGAAGCTACTATTATGTATTGACAAAACACTATTCGAGGATGTAAGGATAATTACTATCTTTAATTCGATATCTTCGAGATCAGACATTCCTGAACATGGATTATTCCTTATCTTATCCTCTCCTACTATTTATCAAGGCTTGTCATAATGTTTTTTTTTATCATACTTATATAAAAAGGCGCAATTAATGTAATGCTTATCAGTTAGTCGAATTCTCGTGTCAACAGAGCCACTCCCAGGTGATATTGACAAGCAAGCATGAAGATTGCCATAGTATTGTGCTTTTAACTGTACTTTGTACCGTAAGTTTCTCTTTTTCCTATAAAGGAATTTGTACTACATGTGAGAAAATTTTTTTCTTCCTTCTCTCTCTC